AACACCTGACTACACTAAAAAAGACTTGGATATCGCTCTTAGCACAACTATTTTTAAGTCCAGACTTCAGAAAACTTTAGGAAACTTTGTGCCATGTAGGTCGAAGGCTTACTGTGCAAATATGCTGCCAGTACAGGCACTAGAAAACGTGGAAAACTAAGGGCGGCATTCAGCGGTAAAGTTCCCAAAAGCACATGATCTTCGTTTCACTACAAACAACCATCAGTGTATAAGACTGCTAATAACAGAAGTAACTACCCAAGCACCACGAAACCAGGTCCGGCTTCATGGAACATTCCAGAATATAAAGACATGAGTTATCACAATCGCCGTGCCATACGCTATAAGTTCATGCATACTAATGGGTCTCTACAAATTTTAGCGCCGCCTACCCACGCTCCACAACCGTCCAGCAATAAAGCTATAGCCCAAACCCTGTCATTTCGCGTCCCAGCATCGATATTACCAACGTTAACATGGCGCCTGAGGCACTAACCCTTCCCCACCGCGCCGGCCGCCCCGTTTGGTAAAGTATGTAGCTATGCAGGCAGGCAGGCAAAGCCCACATGCTACAAATCAATGTGATGAATGGTGGCACGGCACACGTTCGTTCGAGGCATTTGTGCTACCGTTCTACGAAAATGGCAAGCCATAGTCGGCGCGGCTCATAACAATGACGCATTGGAGCTCATAGCTTCTGCCGTTAGGGGCGAGGGTCAGGAAAGGGCAGCAGGGTATGTGCCATCAGGGCTTGCAACGGATCCACAATAAAGCGAACTAGGCAGTCGTCCACATAACAGCGACGAGTGGTATGCCAATTACACTGGAACAGTACAATAATAGCCGCGATGTCAGACATTAAAGGATTCCAGACATACGTGTGTACATAATCGTTACAATGGGGATACGCAATCTAATTAATAAAGCGCAAAACCTCTTAAATATTCAGCTATAGAAAAAATCAATATATTGCATGTATAAGCTACTGTTAGCAACGGTGGCTGATTCAAATGTCTCACAAATGCAAAACTTAGGTGATGAATGAACACTAGCCAATTTACAACTGCTATTAAAACAATGAAAAAACAAGTGTTATTACATAATAAACATTTCGGCAATTCCACACTGTGATAACTAACCGACAAGAATGTCATCAAGGAAGAATTCCAGATCTGCATAGCCTCAGTCTAGCACATCAGAGTCTCAATTCAGTCCCCGAAAATGGCGCGAATCGTTCAATGGCGCGAGTCCATTTGGACAAGGCCCTCGCCGTCATAATCCCAGAATAAATGGCCAATTAATTCTGCCGGCCCCATTTAGAGTCGCCGCGATCTGGCAAGCCAGCAGCTCCGCCAGCTGCAGCAGCTTGGAGACTATCACAAATAGCGAAGAACACTGTCACATGTAGCATTGAAGACTGTCACATGCAGCAGAAGAGACTGTTGCTAACAGTAGCTTATACATGCAATATATTGTTTTTTTTCTTCTATAGCTGAATTTTAAAGAGGTTTTGCTCATTTATTAATTAGATTGCTTGTCCCCATTAGACTGTCACATGTAGCAGTGAAGACTGCACTGTAAAAAAAGTTTACAAACTACCGTGTTAATTGCTCAACAAAAAGATAGTATTAAGACACACAAAAGCTGAAGATAGCAATGAGGTTAGTAAACGGTTTGTATGTAAGCACATTTATTTGTGGTAAACAAACATATAAGTTACAAAACTAAGCCAAGGTGTGTCAACTAGTGGTGTGTCAGCAAGCACTATGCGTGTTTTATACACTATATGCCACACTTACGCAAAACGTGTTTTCGAACAAACTATACATAGCAGGGGACACTAACATACGACCTTTTGTACAACATGTACCTTTGTGCTAAAACACACTTGAAGTTATTTGACAACTGCGGTGCAACTGCGTCACGTCCGCCATGTTTTTTCGGCGCGCGTCCTTTGGCTTGTGCGGCTTGTGCTGTGTCCGCGTCGTGCGGGTCTCTGATGGTGAGTAAGGTGTTGCCAGATATAAATTTGATGTAATTATGCTTCTGTGTTGTATGCCTTGAATTTTGTCAATCGATTTATCTTTATTCGGTGCTAGTGATAACCGTGATGATGCAATGAATGTTGTGTGAATGAGGGACAGCATTATGACCACCAACTGTATCTTAGCAAAATATAGGTTAAAATATAGGAATTCTATAGGTTATTACTGAGGTTACTAGGTTGCTGTAGATTATACTTTGATACAGCCCCCTAATTATTTAATTGCACATGAATAAGGTGGCCCAGTAAGACAAACCCGACAACTATGTCTAAGGACAACTCTAGTAAGATCTGTCTAACGCATTTCAGGTGGCCTTGCAGTCATAGGATAACCTTTATTGGGCAAAAGCTGCCCATTTTTGTTCACCTAAAAATATTTTTTATTTAAAATTTCTTTACGTTCTTTCCTGTTCAGTGAAAGTTGAAATGGGCATCATTTTCTGAAATTTATTGGTAGGGTCCCAAATGATAATTTTTGCAACATTGAAGCATGGGAGTTGCAACTTGCCACATTCTCAAAATGAATGATGAGAGTCAATTTAATTCAGGAAACAGGTTAACTCCCCTGGTTCCGCCAGTGTATAGCTGGAATGGAACTTGCATATAAAGGCAATCATTTAAGTATTCGGTTCCAAGGTACAGGGGTGGCAGAAGGTGAAGCACAACAGGGGAATGTGCCACACAAAATTGTGGCTGGGGCACCTGGGTCGAAATTTCCAATAGTACCTTACCTTTCCGCTGTGGCTAGATTAGTTATATCTATTGATTAATGTTAACCAATGGTGTTAACTTCAATAACCACCTAAAATAGCCAGAAAATTTACACCTAAACCAAATTATGAACACTGATGGGTATAGGCACATAGCTCGGACAAAATATAACCAAACCTAACCTAACCAGACCTAACCTAACCTTACCTAACCTAACCTAAACTAACAAAACCTAACCTAAACTTACCAAAAATACACCTACAACCTACATTGGCAACCGAAAGCTACTTGTGCCGTTATTGAAAGTAGACTAAATTAACTAATAACAGGAAAATCAGCATTTAATTAGCTTTTTGATGTTTGCAAATAACTAACAATGATATTTCACATCGAAAAACACCTATACTATACCTACATTTTTACTAATGTTGGAACAGGTACCGTTGGAACTTTTCACTGACACCCGACATTTAAAGAAGAGCATATGGAATGGAAGATGAGTTACCGCATTATTGCAGATAAAATTGTTAACATTGATTTTCTTCTATGGGGGTTTCAATTCTTGGGGATGCTTTTCTATGCGAGAATTAGATATTTACTTTGCCCTTACATCCTGAGGTGCCTTCCGCGGTCCGCCAGTGGCCCGGGAACGTTTGAAAAGTTGAGGGGGCAGGTTAAAAAGTTGAGGGGGCAAAAGTTAAAACTCAAAAGTTCTATATTTCTTTCTTTCCATGCAACGCCATAAGGCTAATGTTGAATTTTCCCGAAAGTTGGAGGGGCGCTGCCCCTCCAGTCCAAAAGTGGGAGGGGCAAATGCACCTGCTGTCCCTCCTCTTCCCAGGCCTATGCCTTCTGCTGCTGCAGCTTAGACATGTAGTTTAACTACCCACTGACTAAGAATGCAGTTCACATTGCCTTACTTTAATGGATCACAAGGTGAAACTCTTGATTATCACTTGTCTAGATATTAAGTAATCCAGATACTTTTGATATCGATCAATAGAGCAGCTCACACTTAGTGTGTGCTGTAAAATCTGACATGGGAGATGTGTTAGGCAAGGGAAAAGCAAATATTTTAGGCCCACCCCACTTCAGTTGGGAAAACAGTAATATGTTCCTTTTTTTTTTAAAGCTTCTAGCAGGCTTTCGTAGCCGCCGTTTCTAGTCGGAATGTAAATTGGCGGAAATGGCCAAGATAGGCCAAGGTGAAGGAGTTTATGCCCTGGTTTATGGCGGGCAGCATTTTTGGAAATCTAGAATAAAAATTACGATTTTTTATTTGAAACAAATAATGTGAGTTACATTGTAGGTTTTTGGGCAAGTCACTGTAGTATGAATCAACAAATTATCTTCCAAAAATAGCAAGAATGCAAAGCTCTCCGGGTTACCTTGGCCGTTTTTCCGCCTATTATATTTGGGCTATCTCGGCATTTTCGACACTACCGCGGGTAACTACTGGCCGCATGACCGGAGATAGGCCTGTTTATCTTTAAGAATCAGTAAAAAAGGAGATTTGTTTGTACAGTGGCTTGCAAAATTAATTTTTGATAAGTAAATCCCTGGCCTAAGACCTATCCCTTTTCGCAACTAGCGAGTAGACCGCATCATCAAACATCCGTAGGTTGTAGTTTAGATATAGTTAGGTTAGGTAAGGTCCTGTTAAGTCTGGTTTAAATATGTTTATTATTCCCATTTTACTGTTTAAACGACATTTAATAGTATATTTCATAGTTTTACTGATATTTCCTTTTTGGTCTTATGACGTCATTATTGCCCACACATTGCATATGTAGTATTTTTCTTTTGTGAGTCATTTCATCCTTGATTAGGCGCGCATTGTTGGCATGACCCCGTTACGAGAAGATTTCAATTTTTGTCGATTTTTATAGATTTTAGGTGAGTTAGTTATCAAAGTGTTTAATTTTTGATGTTCTGTGAATAATTGAAAGCCATCAAAGTGTGATCTAATGCACTGAAAGCCATAGGTGTGGGAACAGGGGGGGGGGGGGGGGACGGCCGGGCCATCACCATGGCCCACCCACCTTTCAGCTACGTTACAATCAGATCGGATACTCAGCTCGACTTGCCCCCCCCCCCCCCCCCCACACACACTTCTCAAAACGTTCCTACACCTATGCTAAAAGCCATTTTTGGAGGGTGGTGTTATTTTCCAAAATTTGACAAGGCCTTTTCCGTCCCGATTTATGGAAGTTTCATCCCTATTTTTGGAAAATGCCCTTCTATTTTTGGAAGAGCATACTAAAAAAATGGAAGCTTCCAAAAATGAAACAGATGGCCACTGCCACTGTTTACCCAACTGATTTCCAGTCTGCAAAACATGGCAGGGAGCTCGACAAGATTTTCAGGGCAGACAAAGTCCTGCCCCGAATCAGAATGCTGAGTCCAGGGGTAGCCCAATTCCTGCCCCTAATGATGCAAATAATGTAATGATATAATGATGTAGGAAGCAGTGAGAAGCTGAGAAAATCACTTCCGTCAATTTTTTAAACTTCTGCACCAGATTTTCCTGCTTCTGCCCCAGTATTCCGGAAACCTGCCCCTATTTCTGCCCCGACCTGCGGTGTCTGCCCAGACAAGATCTCGTCGAAGAATGCCACATTTTGCAGACTGGACCAGGACTGATTTAGTGTGGTGATCACCCAGCTATATCACTATTGTTAGCAGGATGATTGGTGTACCTACCTATGTATGGATGGATGTATGGATCAACTTCATGATTTGCCAGCTGATTTGGTTATCAGTATTGTGATCAGCCAGCTGACAGCCTTTTCAAAAAGTTGTTCAGCCAGCTGACTGCATAATCATTTTCATGATAAACCATAGGGCTGTTCGGGTGCTGCAAAATATTTTGCGCGACTGTGACATCACACTTGTATGATGTCACTGCCCATCCCGTCGAGCAAAATCTTTCGCAGAACGCACCGAACACCTCAACATATTTTGCGCGAGACAATCGTGCCGCTCCATTCCAGCAAGCAGCGACGTAATAACTAATGAAAAACTTCACCAACCCATTTCCAATTTATGCACCGACAAAATAACACCAAACACTGCATAAATTCACTATAGTTAACACTGCACACTTCGCCACTGTACGTTGTCTGCGCCAAGTCTGCACCACTTTTGCCTCCTGCATCCTGAAATTTTAGGATGCGCGAAGCTGAAAGATTTTGCAGATGCCGATGTCACACATGTGACGTCATACGGTGGTGGGCGGAGCATAAGGCCTGAAAGGTCCCTACTGCGCATGCATGCTGCAAAATTTTACAATAGGATGTGCGGGCCGAACAGCCCTCATCATGGAGGGCATCTTTTCCTTATCATGTTTTTGATTGTGTTTGGGATCTGGCTACAGGTGACATAACCTTTGTGAAATTTTGTGATTTTCCAAAAGTGCTGCAAAATAGGCGTAAAATGATCACATTTGTGATTAATCACATTTGTGATTTCCTCCCCGTAGTTTGCCCAACTGAATCATAAGTCATAACAGGCTTTCCTCTTTTCAGGCAACTGTAGAAGTGGTTCTGCGTTGTACAGTTCCATTATGTCTGTTTTCTTCTAGCTCAATTGCTTTGTTTTGTCAGCATATCAATAACCACTTCAAGGATAAATCTGAGAACTGCAACTTTTTTCTCTGTCCGCGTTGTACACAAGGGTTCACAACTGGACGTTACTGGCTGAGACATTATGAAAGAACCCATGCTGTCAAGCAAAGTACGTCACAGTCGCACAAAGAGAAAGGAAGGCAAAGTCTGGAGGAGTCACCTTCAATCAGTACTCATTGTCAGGAAGAAGCTGAGGTTGAGACTGAGGCCTGGTGCTTGGATGATCAGGGTGAGAAAGGCTCTACAGCAAAAACTGAAGACAGTAGCCGGGAGAAAATAGCACGTTTCTTGCTTCGATTGCAATGTGAGCATGGGATGTCACGGGCTGCAACATCTTTCGTGGCTAGTGAGATAGGAGAAATCGTCGACACCGCTCTTAAGGAGCAGAATGAGAGCAGAGCATCAAAGTCGTCTTCAGTTAAGCAGGCTTGTGAAGAGTTTGCAAGCGAGTATAAATTGAGCAAATTCTGCCATGAGGAGCTCTGCTACATTGCACCTACGACTCAGATCCTTACCACAGGGGGTGGTGAATTCCAATCCAGCTATCAGTATGTGGATGTCAAGAAACAGCTGACAAGTCTCTTGGAAAATGGCAGGCTGGAAAACTGCAAACGGGACAGATTGGTCAAGCTTGTGCTCTACTTTGATGAATTTGGTGTGTGTAACCCTCTGCGGAAGAAAGCATCTGATTATAGTCTGGGTGGTTGCTATTTTGCGGTCGATGAGGGCTTGTCAATGTCGGTGCTGAGTGACATTCATCTCCTCCTACTATGTCCTACAAAACTCATCAAGCTTCATGGTTTGAACACAGTCATGAAGCCTGTGACAGATTCCCTGTGTGACCTCTTGAACAATGGCCTGGATACTTGTGGCACTCATTTTGATATCAAAGTGGAGTTTGTGTGTGGTGACAACCTGGGAGTGCATAAGATGGCGGGCTTCCAGGAATCATTTTCGTCAGGGCAGCGACCATGCCGAACATGCCACGCCACAAATGAGGACTTTGGTACAAAGCTCACAGAGCAAGAGCTGACCCTTCGTACTGAGGAGGAGTACCAAGAAGAGCTGAACATGTGTGAGAATGGAGACAATGAGGAATCTCGAAAAGCATTTGGTATCAACTCAAATGTGTGTTTGATGAGCTGAAAGACTTTAAGGTCACAGAGATGTTTCCACCAGATATCGCGCACGATCTGTTTGAAAGTGGCGTAGTCAATCATTCCTTGGCTCTGGTGCTATCATACCTGATTTTTCAAATCAAACTCTTCACATTCGCCTCAGTTCAAAAGGCTATGAAATCCTTCTCATATGCGAGAGTCGACAAAGCGAACACTCCTCCCATGCTTCAAGCAAAGGGGCGCAAAGTGCTCGTCAAAGGCACTTTCAGTCAGTGCTGGACTTTCCTCCGAGTTCTCCCTTTCATGATCGGTCCACTGGTCCCACCAGATCAAAAGGCGTGGCTTCTTGTGACCGGTTTGCTTTCTCTTGTACAACTCATTTGTGCTCCACGTATGGACGGTGAAATTCTTGCAAGAATGCAACCTTCAGTAGAGCAGTGGCTGCGTGAGTTCTGTGGAATGTTCCCGGACTTCAAAATCAAGCCGAAGTTCCACTACTTATTACATTACCGGCACTGGGCAGCACAAATTGGTTCCTTGAGGAAAGCTTGGACTATGCGTTTTGAAGCTAAACACCAGCAGTTCAAGATCTACGCATCTCGAGCACACAACACCAAGAACATTTGTAAAACCCTCGCAGTGCGACACCAAGAAGCGGTAGCTGCATGCGAAGGAAAGCAAAAGAAGATGATGGGGAAGAAATGCAAGCCATGCCTAGTTACAGGTGCATTCGGATGGGAGGTGGATGACCGAGCTACGTACACCAAGATGGCAGTGCTTGCGGGACAGAAGTACTGCGTCGATGATGTGCTGATCGTGAGAAACCCGGCTGCTTCAAGCTCAGAGAGCTGTGATCTTCTTCGCGTAGCATATTTTCAGTTTGATGCAGTAAACCATGTCAAAATCATCGGTGACGTCTTGAGGGCGCTTTCGTTTGATGAGCACTATATGGCATACCGTGTGACTAAGGGCGAGATGATGATGATCCCTTCTGCTTGGATTTTTGACCCCACTCCGCTGGCTACTTATTCAGTGCAGACCGCAAAATACGTGCCCCTCAGGTACCAGATACCAGGTCTCCGAATCACCTCTGAAAGGTGAGTAATCTGTGCATTTTGCTTCAATTTGAAGTATCAGATTTACTGCGAACTCGCGACTGCTTGTATTGAGCAGTATTGCAGCTATTTGCTTCGCTGTTATGGCTATTGTGAGTGCAAAACTTACACTCACTCGGGTCTTACACTGGCTCTGATATCTGACATGTAGCTAGCGGCCAGTTATGTGGCTTCCACGCGTCCATGGTGTGAAACTATTGCATGAACGCACGTGCACACACCGCCCCTATATCTCGGGAACGGATGAGGCGATGTGCTCAAATTTGCTACGAAGGTAGAGACTGATCCGACATGCAGCTTCGACAACACTGGGGGCGTCACTGCACGTGCTTACCCCACCTCCTTCGAGCCGGGTCTTGGCTTGAATAGATTCGAGGTTAATGCTGAATCTTTTTGAGGATGGAGATGCTAGTTCGGAGCATTGGTTACATATGATGATGAAGATGATTAGCCAGATGCTCATTATTCAGGATCAAAATTGATGAATAGTTGTATTACGTTTCACCCACGGGGCTTCTTCGGATACATATGACAAACATATGTATCCGAAGAAGCCCGTGGGTGAAACGTAATACAACTATTCTATCAATTTTGCTCCTAAATAATGAGCATCTGGCTAATCATCTTCATCATCATAATTGCTGAATCTCCAGTCGTTAACTTCTATCCGACATGACGCGTGTAAAATACTCTGCAAAACCTCTCTTTTGCTCGGTCGTGCCCGCTCAGAAGGCGTTATGGTATAAACGTCGTTTTCAGCGTTCTGGATGACATCAGAATCGGCATTGTCTCAGCTTTTCAAATAAGCTATGTCTGTCTTTTAGGATTGGGATACCCGATGTTATCCAACCACCCGTGAAGTGAGCTGTGCAACCACGTGTCTAATGTGTGCGTAAATAGTAACCATGTGCTGTTTCGCTTGCTGTTTCACCCACTCCATGGCTATCGATGTTTTAGGACATTGTAGTTAGTAATTAATGTAACCACTTGTCATATTTTTTTCAGCGGTCAAACGATGAAGGCGCTAGTAAACCATCGAAGTGCTGCGCGCGTCTTCGAATTCGAGTCTGTCCTGGACCTTGTTCAAAAGGTTCGAGCGTTCTTCGGTCTGCAGGTTAGTTTATTGTTTGTTTGTTTGTTGTTTGTTTGTTTGTTTGTTTGTTTTTTTGGAAGAGTGACGATAATTTAGTTAACGGTGGGACTCAATGTCTGTTTAAGTAAAGGCTGAAATAACTTTTTTTTTGCTCACAGACCTTAAAATATAGTACCTAATAGTATTTTGGTACTATTAAGGTTCGTGTGAGCAAAAAAAGCATATTATGGAAAGTAATACAGCGGTCCTTCGTAAAACAATACCATTCGGAAAATTTACTTAAGGACATTAAAAAAAATATTACACAATTTGTTTAAGGTAATGCAAAGCCATATACCTACGTAACCATAATAAGTTAAGCTGCTGAACGAGGCTCAGATTGAAAATAGGCTGATGTGTTGGGAAATAGTCTGTCTCAAATGCAACATCAACCTTTACAGCAGCTGTTGTCAGTAGTCAACAGGAAAGAGAAGAGTGCACCAAGGTCTATGATTATGCGTAAGATTGAGTTATGAAAATGTCGGATGTGTTGCCTATCATTTCCATCCCCCTCTACCCAACTTGGAGCGACTAATGTGTGTGTCTACTCCCGACCTGGCTACGAATGAGGTACATGTTTGTCCCCAGGGTGGCGATGGGATCTGGAGATCTATGACGACTGGTCCTCGGGTCCTGCTGAATGAGGAAGAGCGATAACTGTGCTCGGCCTCGCATCAGACCGTCATGCGTGGCGATATGGTTGGGTCTTGTGAAAGTAGGACATCGATCTCTGTTAAGTTAGGTTGTTTTTGAGAAATAAAATGTTGCTTATGCAGAATGCAGTTATAAAACTCTAAAAGAAAAAAAAAAACGCCCATAATCATTTGCAACTGAATTTGCTCAGTTGCGTTCGTAAGTATTGAACAAGCTGGCCTCTGAATGTTTGCGTAGTTTGGAAATTGTCCTGAAAAAAAAATATTATACTAATCTGGTATTGTATCAAACATCTTCTCTCATCCAATTTCAGCACTGGGCGACATCCACTTCGTCAGTGGTGGTTTCGCAGTGGATACACCGGAGCCTCAACGTCGCCGAACTCCGTCGATCAGGGGAAGACGCAGAGATCCGGCCGAAAAGTCGGGAAGCGACGCTCTGGCCGAATCTCAAAACCGCAGGAGTGTCTCGGTGAGTCTGTCGGCTGACTTTGTCTTTATGCGTTGGAATTAAACTTCATCGCTTGTTTAATCGGGTGTGTCGAGTTTCATCGTTATTTCTACATTTATTTTAATCGAATGAACCACAGGCCTCTATAAACTCAAGAGTTCATGAATGAATCTGTATGAAAGTTACGTAATTTATAATTGTTAGTAGATCGACAGTCTTCCTTTACCGCGGATCGCTGCGCCGAACCGTGCCACCCAATCCAGCTTGTCCACCAGTTTGGTTGCCTGTTGCCAAAATGCTCCTCAGACAGGTGACCACTGGCACTGACATCTATTCCGATCGCGAGGATAGACTATACTGCCCGCGGCAAGATTCGACTGTGGTGACTAGGCGCAGTAGTCGGCTCTGGTGCGGCGACCCACACAGTTATAATGCCATTTCGGTTCGTTTTCTTCGCGGAGGATACTATGGAAGTCCTGGATGCCATGGAAGTGATCCGGTTTGACGACGCCAGCTGAGACTGGACTCCTCGAAAAGCTTCGAGCAAAAAAGCCCGGCTAACCTCTGACCAGGACGGAGTGGAGCGAAGTGACGACAGTCATCGTGACGTTCGAGAAAGCTTGTAAAGGTATCATCCCGTAGCTAACTGTTGTGTTTTGTTTGTAGCGCGGGGTTTGAGGACATTGAAGTTAACATAAAATACTATTATCATGCATTTTTTGGTACATTTTTTATCGCCCTAGCCGTAACCCGCGCCGGGCCGTACTCCATTTGTAACACAGCGGGCCGCGGAGAGGGGGTTACACCCCCCGTCTAACTCGAATCATGAGCATCGTGAGACACGATAGGCGGCGTTCGAAAGAGCGTTTAAAAACCAGTAGGAAAAGTATTTTTGTCATGTTTTGGCAGACCAAAACTAGGTCACCAGAGGTCACCGAGGAAAAAATGTTCTTTTTTACTTTTGATAGTTTTTCTTCAATAACTTTGATCCAGAAAAGATAGAGGCATAATTCGCACGCCATTGTTCTCAGCTCGTCAAGGCGTTGAATGATATATATATGACCTCAAAAGGTCAAGTTGAAAGTTGACCTTAGGGCAAGGTTTCATCTCATTCGATGCGCATTGACAGACAAACAATAATCGTCGAACGGAGTTTATCTCAATTCAATCAAAAGTTATTGCACAAAAACCGCTTGTGACCTCAGGTGACCCGGATGACCCAGTGACACCTTCCTGCCTTCCACCTTTATGTCGGTTTTACGTTCGTGTCTGTGGTGTGCTTTCAGTTTTACATATTTCCTTTAAATGATTGTCTTATGTCTATGCCTTGCCCTGAAAACTCCTGTTCTAGCGTCTCAAGTCGTTAAGCTCCCATGCCCTTTTTTTTCCAAGCGTCCTGACCTTACTCATGCTCGGTACATGGAGCTGGCGACCGCGCCCTTTTCAATGGCGCGCGGCACTTTGGGTGCAGCCCAAACAGGCACTGGTAAGCACTTATTGCGTTGCTGTTTGATTCCATCAACTAATAGAAAATGACATCGGTCCAGGTCGGGACAGTTCGTGAACTTATCTAATCGAACTCAGCTGAATATACTGAACGGAAGCACTTAGTCACCATGTCCTGAATTGGAAATAGGTATTGAAACCTGAACCTAAAGTAAAGTCGATCTGATGAAC